GAAAATTTTTCAAAACGATCAGTTGAATTTCTTGTGGGTAATTATTTTTTGATACAATTTATGCTTCATTTTCATCTATCAAAGGTTCATGCCCTTCGAATTGTCTAAAGATCCAAAGAATATTGATAATTAAACATTTAAGACATTAATATAGGCATTAAATTAAATGGTTATTACCTTTGCACGTCTGTCACACGTTTGTTAAAGGAGTTCAGGAGCGTTTGTTGGCTCATAGATGCCACTTGACCATGAGTCAAAAATCTAAAGATAACATTAGTAACATATCAATAAACGTTTTATGATTTAAATAAACTACATACTTATCAGAGTTTTTTGCCAAATGACTTAAAAACCAAGCAACATGAGCAAATACTCTTATATGAACCAAAAATTGTCGGGCCGAACTTTCAAGCCCCCAAAATCCGTATTCCATAATATAAGAAAGCGTTAACAAATTTATTGCTGTATCTGTCTCAGAGTTTATAGAATTTACTCCCATGTATGCTTGTTTAATCTGAAAAAGTAAAAAATTAATAAGTACAAATTTGTAATAAATACATAATAACAATTGTAATCTTAGCAAATATAACATACTTTAATAAGGGCCTTTATACAACTTAGATACTTTAAGAAGAATTTAGCATTGCCAGAAAACAAGGGTACATGCGATATATATTTCAAATTGCTATAATAATAACGAAATCAATTAATATATACCACTCTTTATAAGCCATGAGACGATCCTATATGACTGCTCATTAGTATACCTTTTACAACATTTGATGCCCCGCAGTGCAGCTTTAAAGTTTCTAACCTTGAACAAACGTTCCAATTCGAGGACAGCTTTTATTGTATTTTCCATAAATGATTGTATGTGTTCTAAAAACATGGTTAACATGGATTTATTAGATAATCATATATGTATTTATATTTGAAATCATTACAACACTCACCACCATGGTTTGTAGATTGAATACTTTGTTTGGGAATTTCACCGGGAATCTATTTATCAAAAATAAATTTTTAGGTTACACGTGGAAGTTGTAAATTATAAAATTATAAAGTTATAATATACCTTAACATCCGGAAAGCATTGTGGAAATTTAATACGAAGGTACTCATAATGCCGATTGGTGTATGAAGGCAGCATGGACAATATTTTGGGATTTGAAATTGACGCATTGAATGCCAGAATCAAATGTCCAACATCTACAAGTGATATAAGAGTTAATAATATGAAAGAAATAACCAAATAATTTCTAATACAATTCACCATCAACATACGTTCAGGTGCATTTTGATTGATTTCTCTGGATATATAGCTTGATTCCATTTTAAAAAATTTTGGAACAAAACGTTCTGTATAGAAAAATAAGTTCTTAGCATCATATTAATAAAACCAAAGTCACAAAGCAAATAATATACCAATATAATCGCCATGTGTAGATCCAACACGTCTAAAGCATTGATAAATTGACAATTGATCTTCAGGATATCTAGTCATACTGGCTAATAATGATTTAATAAAAATGGGTATTAAATCAGGAGATTTTAGCTTTGCAACTCTGAAAAATAAAATCATTCGTTAATTATGATGTGATAATTTTGATCCATAATTGATTTAGAAGGAATATTATTCACCCTAACATTCCATGTGTTGACTCTCGAACCCTAGGATCAGAATCGTTAAGTACACTAAGTGTAATTTGCAATAATTCAGAATCCAATTCGATGGGATATTGTGCACCAATCTTGCAGAGACTGTTGATGGAATTCAACCGCACGAAATCAATCTCATCCTGAAACATGTCTAGTACCAATATCAATGTTAAGAAGCAATTTTAAGATGAAAATGAAGCATAAATTGTATCAAAAAATAATTACCCACAAGAAATTCAACTGATCGTTTTGAAAAATTTTC